TCACCCCCCAGCTAGCCATTCAGTGCTGGCTAGGGGCTGATGGGAGATGTAGTCCAGAGCCCCCTGGGAATGCCAGGCTGGGAGGGAATTCTACAATCAGGGAGCAGCTCTCTTTTGTCACCACCAACTGTGCTTTCTGATGTTGATGGGACTAAGAGGAGATGCTCACTTGAGTATCTTAGCACCTGGGCAGATTCATATAGGGAGATGGGGTCTTTCAAGTAGCCTGGGCCCATGAGATTGCACAAAAAAGAGATGGCAGCTGTATACCCAAATGGTCAGGCAACTGTTGGGCAGGAATCTGAATTTGCCTCTGCATACCAGGATGAAAAACAATCCACCATGCATCAGTGAGAAACATCAGGATACCCTTAATACCATATTGATTGTCACTGATTTATAAGGAATTTCTACAGGCTCCTCAAATACCCAAGTGACTGGCTAGCCATGCCCCCTACGGAAGATCACTAAGGAAAATGATTTTCAATTTTATTTTGAAAGAATGATGGGAATCCCATATGGCAGGCCTGGAGAGAAATTTGGCTTTGTGATTCTCACTTCCCAAAACAATCTGTGAGCCGAAGCACAGCTCTCCTTTCAAAATTCACACTTCTCTGAATTTTGCAGCGCAGTTCTGTGACAACAATAAAAAGAGTCCCAAAATGCACCCCCTAGGGGACAGTGTGCACAAAATGCAGATTTTCATGAAAATAACATATATAATAAACACATTATATAAGGCAAATGTGCATACAAAAAATGTATACTAGAATGCCAGTGGTTTTTCGTGAGATCTTTTAATTTTTGAAGATTCAAATTGGAACTGAAATTAAGATTGGGGAAAATGAGAAACAGAGAGAAACTGAAATTGGCAGATTCAACCACCTTTCATGGAGAACCTAGTGTCCTTCAGATTCTGTTGGACCTCAGTGCCCATCAGCATGGTCAAGGGTCATCAGTGGCGGAAGGGGCCGTCCAACAACATTTGGAGGGCCACAGGTTCCTCACCTCTGCTTTTTGAAAGGTTAGTTGAAAACAGAGAGGGCCATTTTCAGTTAAACCCAAGTCTCGTTCCCTTCTGTGACATTCTGCTCTACAGGAGAATGAATTTAAATATGCTTTGCCTAAGGTTACAGTTGGGTTCCATGACTTGCAGGTCACATCATTACGCTACTCCTATATCAACCTTAAAGAAGCCATTAATATAATGTGTTGTCACTGGTGAGAAGTAAGGGGAGAAGGAGGGGCTCCCTTGATATTGTCCAATGTGTCTAGCTTGGCTTCTTATGGATAGCATACTGATGTGCATTTGGGTTATGTCTCCCCTCAACTTTCCTCCATGCCCGACCTTTTTCAGCTCTGCAAATAAGATGTCTATCAGGTTCCCTTCCTTTGCATTTGGTTCTGAGAGGAACGGAAAGCACTCCCTGTGCTCGCTAAGCTGCTTTTGAGGTTTAAGGATGCAAAAGCATATTAGCTGTCTCAAGGCAACCGCTTAAGTCCCATGAAAGATGTCTCGACAAAAGAGTTTAAGCAGCTAATAATGTTCATTGACAAGCAGGCAATGATGGAGACCTTTATGTGTGTCTGTGTGGCATGTCTTGACTATGTTGCTGCCGCATGCTTCTAGTCCCTCCTGCTTTTGTTTGTGTGCTGATGGAATTAAAGTTAGCCAGTGGAACAGGACTCGGGACTCTTTGGGGCATGACTGATCTCAATGACAAGCATCCATTTGAATGATGATACTGTCCATTATGAACTCGAACTGGGACAAATTTTAGTCACAGCCGGGGGTTCAGTTTTTAAAATTATTAAAGAAGCAGCTGTGAATGGGTGACCAGGAGGGCACGGAAAGAGTTAAGATGCAACAGTTTCTTGAACCTTTTTTTTTGACCCTGAACCTTTTTTGAATGTGAAATTCAACATTGTGAGAAAACTATTTTGTTTTGCAAAGAATATCATCACATCTACATCATACATTTAAAGCATATACTGTGTTAATAGTCATGGCTTCCACCCAAGAATCCTTGGAACTATCATTTGTCAAGGGTGTTATAGCTCTCTGAGGGGTCTCCAAGTTGCCCTCAGCACCTGTAATAAAGTATAGGACCCAGGAGCCTGGCTGTTACAACGGTAAGAGTGCTTTAAACAGACGGTGTGAATGTGACTTCTAAGCTGAGGTCAATGCTCTATGTTGTGGTCAAAGCCACCATCTGAGCTCATCCAGTGTGCTCATGGAGAGCAATTATTCCCATGCCTGACTGCAATTCAGCACTGGACAAACTCCAAATTTCACATGATGATTTCTTTATGACTGTGAATCCTGTGAATCTTTTCTCCTTAGCACATTTTTCATATGCAAATTTCCTTGTGATCTGTGTTTATTAGGGGAAAACAATTATCTGAAAAAACAAGTAGCAAGAACAACTTGCAGATCATTAACATTTTCAATTTAAAGATGGAGAGATGAGTTCTGAAAGAGGGATTTGTCTGAAACCACAAAATTGAGTCCACTCCTCCATTGTCCATAACACCACCTCTTTATCATTTCAGTCAAATGGACCAGAATGACTATATTGGTAAACAATAGCAAACCCTGAGTGTGCATTCTATCACTGCGCTGTGGTTCCTTCCCTAGTAAAGCAGTTGTGATGGTGGCTTTTTACAAGCACCCTCCAGAGAAGTGGGATCCTTATTAGTGCTGAGCTGAAACAGGTCTCAGAAGGACCTGTTGGCTGGTTTCCTTTGCTTACTGTAATGTTCCAGTTTTTCGGGTTGCAGGTATTTTGCCAACAGTCAGGAGAGCTTTGGCTGTGTCACCTTGTTACAGTGCATTGGGAGAACCAAGCTAGATACTGAGACATACTCAGGAGCTAACGAAACCTTGAAGGAGTTTCACTGAGGACATGCATGACTTCCTATATTCAGTCTGGTCAGTCCCTGGAAGTGGAGGGGGGAGAGAGGGGGGTGCCGAAGGGAGAAGGGTTAAGGGAGAGAAAGGAAATGTTCTACCATTCTCTTGTTCTTTAACTCTCTCTCTTCACCTCTCTCCTTTCATGCACCTGCATTCTCTCTTCCTTATCAAAAGCTGCCACATTCCATTCTCCTGTTTACCAGAGGATAGACACCTTTCCTGGTCACTTGTGGTGATTTGAAGCCATCAGTGCAACCAGGGAGACTTTCAGTGCAAAGATCACTGGTAACAGGCGCTCACAAAGCTTGGTGTGTCAGAGATCAGATGCAGACTTCTGGGGTTCATAATGTGTGCCTCAAAGAAGAGGAAAGCATTACACCCATGAATTCTTCTCTGGTTCAGATTTCTCAGAGGAATGACTCCTTCCCAGCCACCAAACCTCCAGCTGATAAGCCTTCACCACGGCAAGAGAGGTTTATTATGTTTTTAGATATGATGTCAGCTGCCCAGAGTGGCTAGGGAAACCCAGCCAGATGGGCGGGGTATAAATTATTATTATTATTATTAAATGAGGTTTCTCTTGGTTGAATCATGCTGTCAAAGGTAGCCTTGGATTGTGGTGTCTTGCTGGGCTGATCTTCACATGCATACCAAGATTGAGGTTGCAGTCCTCCACAACAACAAAAGGTTGAGCTAGATGGAACCAACTTTTATATTGATCCACCAAGACTCTTCTTACATCCTCATGCCTGCCTTCCCCACTTTTGGAGACTAATCCAAGCATTAGAGCAGCTGCGTATTAGCTGCGCCCAAATTGTATTATGACCAGCAGTACCCACAGCAGTGCTACAGCCTCAAAGGAAGAATAGAACTGCCATGCAGATTCATGGATCTGGGGAAGGGCCATAGCTCAAGGTACAGAGGAATCATCCTGATTCCTCCTACTTGTTGTGGTCACCTGTCTGTTTACGCACCCTCTGGCCCAGAGTGGATGAGAAGTGGTGGGCAGCAGCACCTCTGCTTTTTCACCAGTCATTCTCCTGACAGGCGTTCAGCCAACAGCAGTGGCAGTGAGAAGGATGAGGGCTTTTTGGAATGATGGCAACACTTGAGGGCATCTTGGCCACCAAACTCTGGTTTGTCATTGTATCAGAACTTGGGAGGGGGGCAGGCACAGAAGATGCAAAGTGTGCAAGGATGCAAGAACAAGCCAGGCATAAATAAGGCTTGTATATACTAACATGAGTCTTAAATTAAAAGTGGAGTAGCCTATCTGAGCTGAGATTGTTTCCTTCTTTAATATCTGCTCTGTTGCTTGACTCTTGAGCCTTTATTTTCCCTCTGAATTCTTCTCCCCCCCCACCAATATATATATATATATATATATATATATATATATATATATATATATATATAAAAACTTGACATAGCACGTAGCTAACTATGGAATTTGCTACCACGAAATGTAATGATGGTCATCTTTAAAAAGGGATTAGGGTAATTCATAGAGGATAAGCTTGTCAATGGTGCTTAGTCATAAAGGCTACAGAATTACCTCTGGAACCAGTTACTGAGGGAGCATCGTTTGCGCTCATGTTCTGCTTGTGGGGACATCTTTTGGCTCCTGTGGAAACAGTATTCTGGACCAGATGGGCCTTGGGCCTGATCCAGCAGGGCTCTGCTTATGGCCTCCTGTTCTCAACTGAACTGCTACTGAATGGCCAGCTTTGTTGCTTGATCTCCACAAGGAGGCATTGGCTTTTGTTTGACAGTGTGTGATTGCTGTCTATGCTCTGGCAAATCTGGAGAGAAAGATGGGCATGCCACCAGCATTCCTTTCCTACATTGCAAAGCAAAGTGCCTGCCTGCTTTTCTGCGTTGCATGACAGCTAGCCATCATGAAGATTGTGCCTTAATCTTCCCAAGGAAGCAAACGACTAACCTCATGCTCAGCCCGCTGAGAGAATAATGTGTGGTTTGTGGGCGCCTGCCTCCAGTTCTGGCAAAATAATGCAGAGAATGTCACTGGTTCCTATGCAGAAAGGAAGCCCGTGTTGACAAACGTGTATGTTCTGTTTTGTTTCAGGGAATCTGACTAAACATATGAAGTCAAAAGCCCACAGCAAAAAATGTCAGGAGATGGGTGTGTTGGTGTCTTCGCTGGTGGAGCAAGAAGCAGATGAAGGTAAAGCTCATACCGATTCATTCATTCATTTCTTACTGTCTACATATCGCATTCCTGATGCTAGTTAGATCGGGATTCAAATTAATTCATCTATTTCTTTTATCATCACATTTTTAGCCCACTGTTCCTCCAAGGAGCTCAAAGTGGCACCTATACTTCTCCCCTCTCTCCCATTTTATTCTCACAAACAACCCTGTGAGGCAGCTTAGGCTGAAAGACAGTAACTGGCCCAAGGTCACCCAGCACTTAAAACCCCATTTAAACACGTAGTCAGGGGCGAGGGAGAGCAGGAGACATAGGCTCCGGTTGCACTATTTAAATCACTATGATACTACTTTCAACGGGACGTGGGTGGTGCTGTGGGTTAAACCACAGAGCCTAGGACTTGCCGATCAGAAGGTCGGTGGTTCGAATCCCCGCAACGGGGTGAGCTCCCATTGCATGGTCCCTGCCCCTGCCAACCTAGTAGTTTGAAAGCACGCCAAAGTGCAAGTAGATAAATAGGTACCGCTCCAACAGGAAGGTAAACGGCGTTTCCGTGCGCTGCTCTGGTTCGCCAGAAGCAGCTTAGTCATGCTGGCCACACGACCCGGAAGCTGTACACCGGCTCCCTTGGCCAATAAAGCGAGATGTGCGCCGCAACCCCAGAGTTGGCCACGACTGGACCTAATGGTCAGGGGTCCCTTTACCTTTACCTTACTACTTCCAACAGTCATGGCTTCCCCCAAAGAATTCTGGAAACTGAAGTTAGTTAAAGTTGCCAAGAGTTGTTAGGAGACTCTGGTTCTCGTTACAGAGTTACAGTTCCCTGGGAAGAGAGATGGGTTGTTGAGCCACTCTGGGAATTTTAGATCTGTGAGGGGAACAGAGGTCTTCTAAGAACTCTCAGCACTCTTAACAGATTTCTCTTCCCAGGATTCTTTGGGGGAAAGCCACAACTGGTTAAAGTGGCATGATGCTGCTTTAAATATTTAGTGCAGATGGGGCCACATAGAAGCTGCCTTCTCCTTACCCTTCCTGTTAGACCGCCCCTCCTCTTTTGGCCGCCCTGGATTGCTCAAGATGGAATTCATCCAACCTGGGATGATCTGGGGCTGCTTCAACCTGGTCTGACCAAATCCCAGGTTGGCCCAATTTGATTTGCGACCTGGCTGGATCTGGTGAGCAGATATACAGAAACACACATATGTGCACATGTGCCGCGTTCCATATTTCACTGTGCGTTTGAGTGCGTCGGAAGATTTACAGAATGCCATCCATTTAACCAATAAAAGAGTATCCTACGATTTTCCCAGCCATACTTGTTTCAAAGGTATCATCTTACATTTCCAGTGATCAGAGTAAAGCAGTCTAGCATCCACTAGAGCATTTATTACTACCTCATGTTACTTTCTGGGGATGAAATCTGGTATAAAATTAAGAAGTCAAGCAAGAGGACCAAGTTACACGTAAATGTTCCTGTTATAAAATTATTTACGAGTCGCCTTTCAGCCCCCAAAGGACCCCAAGGTGACGTAACAATTTAAAAACCTTTAACCTAAAAGCAACATTGAATCCAAATCTTTATTGCTTAGCCAAAGGCCATCATCAGTCATACAACAGTATAGCAAAAAAATGTGGAACTACTCAAAATTGGATTAAAACCCACCAATAACTTTTATCCATTGCAATATCATATATATATATATATATATATATCCAATATATTTTATGAGATGTAAAACTATAGTACTCATTGCACACACACACACATACAGAACCGCATGAGAAAAACAATTTCATGACCAACAGATGGGGGCGGGGGCACAGACAAACAGATGGAACAGAATTGATTTACATTTAAAATCATTCAAAGGTCATAGAGAGCAAATCAAGTTTTAATGGTCCAATGAAAACTAAGAAAGATGATGCCAGTCTAACTTTAAAATGGAGGTGGGGGTGAAGTTTCATACTTGGGAGTGCTGTCATTTATTTATTCATTTTGGTGCTCTTACACCTCGCTTTTCCTCCAAAAAGCATACACTATCATCTTCCTCTCCATGTTGTCCTCAGAACAACCCGGCGAAGTAGGTTTGGCTGAGAGATGGTGACTGGCTCAAGGTCACCCAATGCGCTTCAGGAGTGAGCAGGGATCTGAACACAGAAAAGACTTTTTTTCCATTCTGAAGCGGCTGTTATTTGCCTGCCTACTCCCCGGCAACGATGGGCAGTGTCAATGAGTGTGGGATTTAGGAGAGCTGGATTTTTGAGGGAGGCTGTGCTCAGTTTGGCATCCTGCACTAAGTACCACGAATAAGCTTCAGAGAGTCATTATCTGGATGACTGTCCTGTGCAGCTGAACTGAGCACAGAGTGGCATAGGGCGTGGCCTCCCACTAGTGACCCAACTAACCTAGCTATGGGGCCATGTAGTCCGCCAGCTAGATGCCATTTGCACTATAAAATCTGTCTGTTTCCAGCATTCCACAGAAAGCAGCCTGGGGAACTCCCTTTGCACTGCCCTGCCAGGTATCACTTTGGGCCAAACGGCATCATACGAAATAGATATTGTTGCTGGTTGATGTTTCTGCATCGCTGCTAAATAGCAGCTGTGGTGGTGGTGGTAACAGGATTAGGACTGCGGCACACAAGATGGGGAGGAGGGGGCATTTCCTCACTACCGTGCAGCCGCAAAGAGAACCTCGCCACTTCGCCAGAAGCTATTGTTTTTATCACATGCTATTGGAGCTTTCTTATGCAAAAAGCAGCTGAGGGGCTCATTGGGACTGCTGCAGGAGGGAAAGGGTTAACCAGATCTCCCTGTGCATTGCAGTAGTCCCATGGGCATAGCTAGGGGAGGCGGGAGCAAACTATCACCCCAAATCAAATAAATCAGTAAAAATACTTAACTCACTGAGGTTCTGCCTCCTAAATATGAAGCCTGCCCCCCCAATAAATCCTGGCTGTGCCCATGAGCAGTCCCATTCTGGATTTGATCCCCTGCTCCCCGGTGGCTGGTGTTATCCATGCTAATAGCCACAGTGGCAAGGCTCTTCTTCCACATCTGGGGGTAGTCGTGCTTCCGAATACCAGTTGCTGGAGACCACAGGAGGGGAGAGTGCTCTGGGGCTTGAACCCCACTTGCGAGTTTCTGGTTGGCCATTGTAAGAACAGGTTGCTGGAGTCGGTGGGCCATTGGCCTGATTCATCAGGGTCTTTTTATGTCCTTATGACACCTGAACTCAAAACTCGCTATGCTGAATGTTCTTATGCTCTTACGTTCACAAAAGAAACCCAGGGGTGGAGCAAGGTGGGTGCGGTGGGGGTGGATTGCCCCAGGTGTCATCTCCGAGGGGGTGACATTTGGCACACCACCCGCCCATGACTCATCGGGGGCAGGTGGGGAGCTGCAGCATTTTGACAGCCTCGCGCTCCCAGGTTGCTGGAGGAGGCAGGCAGGCAGGGAGAGGACGGGAAGGAGTCATGCAAGCAAACAAGCAGACAGGGGTGGGAAGGAGAGAAGCAAAAGCTCCCTCAAATGTGGACTCAAACCCTGGAATCCCAGAAGAAGCTCAACAATTTCAGCCACCCCCTAAAAGAGCTCAACAACTTTGGCCAACCCTCCCCTTAAGAAAGCTCAACAACTCCCGGCAATGACAATGAAAACCTAGATTTCAATGGGGGCAGTGTGACAAAAAATTTCCCGCACCGGGTACCACCTGACCTTGCTACACCACTGAAGAAACCACCACCAGTTCCCATGTTGGGGGCATTGTCTAAAGGTAAAGGGACCCCTGACCATTAGGTCCAGTCGTGACCGACTCTGGGGTTGCGGCGCTCATCTCGCTTTATTGGCCAAGGGAGCTGGCGTACAGCTTCCAGGTCATGTGGCCAGCATGACTAAGCCACTTCTGGCGAACCAGAGCAGTGCACGGAAACGCCGTTTACCTTCCCGCCAGAGCGGTACCTATTTATCTACTTGCACTTTGATGTGCTTTTGAACTGCTAGGTGGGCAGGAGCAGGGACTGAGCAATGGGAGCTCACCCCGTTGCGAGGATTCGAACCGCTGACCTTCTGATTGGCAAGCCCTAGGCTCTGTGGTTTAACCCACAGCAGGGGGCATTGTCTAGACTCGTCCTAAAACATTGAGGTGGGGAGGGAGGGCTACTGTCTGCTCTTCTTGTGGATTTTACTGGGGCATCTGTCTGGCTGTGAGATGCTGAACTGGAACTGGGCCTTTGGCCTGACCCATCAGAGTGTGTCCTGTGCCTTTATGAACTTACAGCCTTAAGACAGCAGACATTGTGATTTTCGCTTGCTTGCCACGGTACAGCTTTCCTTCTTTGAAATCCAGGCTTTCCTCTACCCCTTGTCTCTTTCTCTTTTGCTGCTTTACATCATGAAAAAGGAAAACGTTCCACATTCGGAATAGATGGTGCTTTGCCAGAGTTTTACCCTGGGGAGGAAAGAACGTGCAAAAGAAAAAAAACGGGGGGGGGGGGAGGATTGAGTCCAGTATCGTGTCAGTCACAAGGGAGATGCATTCATGCTGGTGTCAGCCAGCGGACATCTGCTCCAGTGTCAGATTGCTGGAGGAGTTGTGGAGCCTGCTAACTTACTCAGAATAACTGATTAGCTTTGAGAGCCCCTTGAAAAGTGTTCGCTGCTCTTAGCCTGACTTCTTTCTGAGACTGAACGGCAAACCTGCTGGGGGTGGTGCACAGGCTAAGCGTCCGCATCCCCATTTCACAGAATCTTAGAAACTATAGAGTTGGAAGGGACCCCAAGGACCATCTTGCCCGAAGCCGCTGGCAATGCAGGAATCTAAACTAAAGCATCCACGACAGATGGATTTCAGCTGCGGTTTGGTCCTCATTTCTTTTTGGTCCCAGGCACGTTAGCGATGTATTGAAAACCCGCAAATGCTGCTCTATGCAGTGGAGAGCTGTAGGATGCGGACGACGACACACAGTGCCAGATTTACGTATAAGCTAAACAAGCCATAGCTTAGGGCCCCACTCTCTTGGGGGCCCAAAAAAAAATTAAAGGAAAAAAACCCTGGATGTACATTCCAAAATATAAGATAAAAAACAAATAAAATAAAGCCTACATACAGCAACAGTGTTTTGTGTTGTGTAGGCTCCTATGATGTAAGTCATGGGCCCTGCCTGCTAGCCTGCTCCCTAAAATATCACTGGTTTGCTCATTTCTATATATAGGGTGCCTACATTCTGCATGTGCAAATGGCTTTAGATACCAATTAGGGTCATTAATTACCATTTAGCATATATTCAACACAAAAAAGTGACAATTTGTTGTTAACAAAGGACAGCTGGATATATAAAGGGCCCCATTACCTTCAGTAGCTTAGGGCCTCATCAAACCTAAATCCGGCCCTCCTGACACAGGAGAGATTTTGTGGGTCTTGCTCTCAAGGACTTGGTCCTTCCCATCGTTTCCCACATCCCCGCTCGGCTAATGGTGACACATTGCAAGCGGCGCAGTGTGTCATCACCTCAGCAATTATTCGAGGCTTTGAGCCAACAGGGCATTTGCTCTGCTTGCAAAAGGGGGGGGGGAGCATGCTCAGGGGAGCATGAGGGCATCTGCTTTCTTTTAAAAAGGCAGGGATTAACACTTTGCAGAGCCCCCACCACAATTCTGCCTTGTGCACTTCGAAGGGCTGTGTGGCTGGAGTGAACCCTAAGCGGCAGCCTGAGGTCTCCCGTTCCCTATTTCCAAAGAGCCTGTCCAGGGGACATTTTTAGTCCGCAGGCACCTGCAGAGCTCCACCATGAGAGCTGATCTCAACTCTGTGGCAGGAATCCGCTGGTATTCAGAATGGAATCCTCCCTGGTCTGTTGATGTTGGCTGCACCCCCTGTCCACTGGAATGTGTTTAGCTGTCTGGGCTTTGCCGCTTTATGCAACAAGACATGTAATTTTAGAATTACAACTCACTTGCACACTCAACTCATTTCCACTTTTGGCTGAAAGGCACTCGTGCTTGTACTGAATGAGCCTGCCCACGAAGAAGGAGTTTAAAAATGGGGGAGAAAAGGACAGAGCTGGCCAGATCGATCTATTTCCCCTTCATGTCAATCTTACCTGTCTTCATTCAGAGCATCCCTTTCTGCACTAATCTCTTACTTTTCGTAATGTGAAAATTTGCATTCAACATGACTTTAAAGAAAGTCTATGGAAGTTAGGTCTTAAAGGGTGTGACCCTCAAATATCTAATTTATCATAAAGAACATATTTCTAAGTGTGTTTTATCCTAAAACATACAATCTTTAAATGCCCTTTCATATGTTTTTAAGCCGGGAACTATATTGCAAAATTTAGGCAGATGTGAAACCCAAAGAATAACTACATTCTGATCTGTGTAAGTCACCCAGGAAGTGAAAATTAAGTCAGGACACATTTGTGCTGTACATTTTAAACCCTCTTATACAACTGTTGCAGGGATGCGGGTGGTGCTGTGGGTTAAGCCACAGAGCCTAGGACTTGCCGATCAGAAGGTCGGCAGTTCAAATCCGCGTGACGGGGTGAGCTCCCGTTGCTCGGTCCCAGCTCCTGGTAGTTTGAAAGCACGAAGTGCAAGTCGATAAATAGGTACCGCTCCGGCGGGAAGGTAAACGGCGTTTCCGTGCACTTCTCTGGTTCTCCAGAAGTGGCTTAGTCATGCTGGCCACATGTACACCGGCTCCCTCGGCCAATAAAGCGAGATGAGCACCGCAACCCCAGAGTCGGTCACGACTGGACCTAATGGTCAGGGGTCCCTTTACCTTTACCTTATACAACTGTTGCAGCCATGGAGAATCATGGGAACTGTAGTTTGCTAAGGGCGCTGGGAGTGGCAAGTCTGTGAGGCCAGCACCTTCCGCAAACTACATTTCCCAGGATTCTCCATGACTGTTTAGGTGGCAAAAGAGGGCTTTAAACGTATGGTGCAGGTGTGACCTCAGTTCACTTTCAGATGTGCCCTGAATAAATGTCTCTTGCATCCCTATCACAACAGTGCGCCTAACGAGGCTGTCCAATCAACCTGGGGAAATCGCACCACTGCTTCCTGTATTTTGCTGCCTGCTGAAGAAATTGCAATGGGAAGCTTGTTTATAGACTCTTAAATGAGATGTTGGTCCATTTAATCTGTTTCTTGTAGTACATAAAAGGCCATTTTATATCCCCCTTGTCTCCCATCTTGTAGCGTCTTCTATCTGATAAAGCTGAAACCATTCCCACCCAGCAGCTTTGCTCAATGTTATTCTAATAGTGCCTCTCTGTGGAAGAGTAACACCCGGAGTAATGATGATGGGCGCATAAATCACCCATCTGTCACCCAGATGAATAAGCATCCATGACAGTCAGTGAAAAACGAATGAATAACAACATAATATGGGGTGGGTGGGGGAATCCACTGAGAAGTTTTCCTGCACTACGCTTTTTTATTTTAATTTTTATGAATGCAAGTGGCTTAGAACTCAGTGGGGTTCCTGTGCCATTCTCTTTTGTTTCCAAGTGGCTCACACTGAAAGACTTCCTAGCATGTTTCTCTTTTCCCTCTGCCAAACCAGAATGCTGAATCATTTTGATGGATTGCCGTCCAGCCTCTGTTTAAACGCTTCCAGGGAAGGAGTGCCCACTGCCTCCCAAGGCATTCTGCTATTTAGTTATTTTTTTATTCCCTAAAATTTATATATAACGCCTTCATTGTAAAAATAAAAATAAAAATGCAAAGCAGTTTACAAAAAGAATTAAAAAGTAATAATTTTTTTAATTATTATTTATATCCCACCCTCCCCAGCCGAAGCTGGGCTCAGAGCGGCTAACAATGGTAAAATAACACAACATTCTAAAATCCTTTCATTATAAAATCAGTTCAAATCACATTAATGGCAACCATTGGGCTAGAGTTCTATGAGGATTGCCAATACAGTGGTACCTCGGGTTACATACGCTTCAGGTTACAGACTCCGCTAACGCAGAAATAGTGCCTCAGGTTAAGAACTTTGCTTCAGGATGAGAACAGAAATCGTGCTCCGGCAGCGCGGCGGCAGCAGGAGGCCCCATTAGCTAAAGTGGTGGTTCAGGTTAAGAACAATTTCAGGTTAAGAATGGGCCTCTGGAACGAATTAAGTACTTAACCCAAGGTACCACTGTAATCCTCTGCAATAAACTAAAAACAGATTAAAATGCACGTCAGCATTCGAGATATCCAGATAGGCTTATCTAAATAAAAATGTTTTTAGCAGGCACTGGAAAGGCTCAGTTGAAGGTACTTGCCTGATATCAATAAGCAGGGAGTTCCAAAGTCTGGGTGTTGCCACACTATAAAAGAGCTTTTTCTATGCTCAATCCAAACACTCTCATACAGCTGTGGTGCCTGATGCTTCTGAGCCACTGTGCTTGTTTATAAAACAAAATTTGACCAAATGGCAAAGAAGCGATCTTGAGGACTTTTGAACTTATGCAAGATTCTTTTTCAGGAAGGGTGATTTTGCTATATTCTGTGTGATCTAATGCAGTATTCCCCCCCCCCGTCCCCCTTAGGAACCAGTGAAGATCTCTTCCAAGATTCAGAAGGGCAGGAGGGATCTGAGCCACTTGAAGAACACCAGTTTTCAGACTTGGGAGAGTCTGACGATGACAATGACGACGAGGAAGAGGAGGAGGAAGAGGAAGAGGAGGAGGAAAGCCAAGAGGAGCCACCAGTGAAGCTTTCAGAAATGAAGAACATCCCCCTCCCAGGACATTCTCCAAGAGGTTCTCACTCCGCCCAGGAGAAAGGCACCAGGACAGCATTGTCCATCTTGGAAGATGTTGTCTCCACTAGCAAGCGTGCTGTTCGGCGTCACCAGACCACCTCCTCGGGGCCAGAAACGAAATGGTCGGCTGACAGCACTGAAGTTGCCGTCTGCCACAGCTTCTTGAGACTCCACCGGCCGGTTTTGACCTCCAGTGGACCCGTGGCTTCTTCTGCTGAGAAGGATCCCGTTACAAGGCCACAGATGCTCTTAGCGATGGACTTGTCAATCTCCAAAGACACCTCTCTGAGGAGGAAGGGGTCTCCAAGCAAGGACTCTGGCTTTGGCAGTGGTGGCAACAACAACCGTTCCATGTTGGCTAGGAAGCACCTGTTATCCAAAAACGAAATGTCTCCGAAAAGGTTTTCGACAGCTGGAGAAACACCTTCTCTGAGGAGCTTCTCTCCAGCGAGGGGGAGGTCCTCTGGTCACCGAATGTCTCCGAGGAGAGAGGCGTTTCCCCTCCGCAGTCTGTCGCCGAGACTCGAGCTCTCGCCCAGCAGGTACATATCTCCGAAAAGAGAGCTGTCGTCGCGAATGTACCTCCCGCCAGAGAGAGGCGTGTCTCCTGTGAGACATTTGTCTCCAAGCAGGGATGTCTCCACAGCCAGATACTTATCCCTGAAGAAGATGTTGTCCCAGAGCTATTCAGAGCCACCTTCGAGGTACCCGTCCCCAGGAAGAGAGGACTTGCCTTCTCATGGCCAGTCGGCAGCAGATGAAAAAGTTCAAAGCCTGGGTAAAACTCTGCATGGGATCTCGTCTTCAGTGCCTCTACCTCACAGGTCCCTCGGCAAGAATACAGAACTGTATGAAGGACCTAAACTGGTAAGTTCTTCAGCATTGGTCTTCCAAGCAGTGAGACTGGACCCACAAATCTAAGGAGGGTTACAGCTGTGAGATCACCACTGTTTATGTGTGTGTGTATGTTTGTGTTTTGGAAGGGGACAGTGTCTTTAAAAATAAGAAGGCAAGGAGGAAAGGATAGCCAAATGTAATGGAGAGCAGAGGTCCTTTATCTTTGTCCTCCCTTACTCACCGTCCCCCCAATCATTAAATTAAAAAGTCAGTTTATATGTCCACATCAGTGCACTCATCTCTCTCTATGCACCAGCCCCATAAGCTGAGCCATAGCTCAGTGGTGGAGCATCAGTTCTGCAGGCAGACAGCCCAGGTTGAATGCCCAGCATTTCTGGATAGAGCTGAGTGTGTTCCCTCTCTCAGACCCTGGAGGGCTGTTGCCACTTACTGTAGATCAGGAATAGGGAAATGTAAGGCCAGAGGGCACCGTTCAGCCCGGACACCAAGGTCTAGCTCTGAGGGCCTTCTGGAGGTTCTCTCACTGCGAGAAGTAAGGCGGTAGGGAGCCAGGCAGAGGGCCTTCTCGGTAGTGGTGCCGACCCTGTGGAACGCCCTCCCATCAGATGTCAAGGAAATAAACAACTATCTGACTTTTAGAAGACATCTGAAGGCAGTCCTGTATAGGGAAGTTTTTGATATCAGATGTTTTACCATGCTTAATGTGTTTAATTTGTTGGAAGCCACCCAGAGTGGCTGGGGCAACCCAGTCAGATGGACAGCATATAAATAACATATCATCATCATCTTCATAGACCAGTGAGCTGCATTGACCAATATTTGGACTCCGTATAATGCAGCTTCCCTGGTTCCTAACATGTGTGGGAATGTTCAGGGATGCAGGAGAGGATATATTGTTTGATTATAGCCTTTCCAACTTGTGTTAACAAGTTCACAATTTAGCAGAGTAACATTTCCCTTTTTAAACTTTCAGCGGATGCGTTTGCTCAGGCTCGGTAAAGCCTCTATAATAACTGTCCTGGTATTTTCCCCTTATTCCCTCATAAAAGATAAGACACAACACAGTCTTCTATAAAAGTATAAAAAAGAGTTTACTCACATTCTGTTCACAAACGGATCCCAGTAGGCAGACTTAGCTTAGAAAAGTAACATACACCTGGAAACTATCTCATAAGGAGACAGTCCCTTTGTCCTTTCTTGGTTGGAAGCCAAGAGAGCATCTTTGGCTAAGCAGATGTTGCTTCTTCGATGCATGTAGTCATAGAGAGAGAGATGGCTGCCCTGCCCTGTGCTTTTGTCGTTACCTGCACAGGTGAGGCCACACCCACCTCTAGTCACATGCAGAGGAAGTCTGTCCCAGTTCAGAAGGCAACAGGAAGTTTACCTGCTGGCTGGACAAACATTCATCCCCATGTGTAAACATGTTCACTCTAGGAATGTTGTACTTGACTGCTCTTGTGTTTCACATCCCACAATATGTACCTCCTGTCATTACAGAAGACAGAATCCAGGAGCCCAGCGAGTTCACCGGGCGTCACTCAGCATCACTGCGTCAGGCCTTTGCAATCGCCCCACGACACGCACGCCCATGCCCCAAGCCGGGTGGAAGACTACATCTTTAGCCACCTCCCATTGCACTCCCAGCAGCTACCCCGGAGCCCCTTCCCCATGATCCCAATTGGGGGCATTCAAATGGTCCAGGCAAGGCCCAGCAGCCATCCCGGCTTGGGGCACGGATCAGTGATGTCGCTGCACGCCAGCTACTTCGCCCCCAGCGGTGACACCTCTGAATCCAGCCAAGCGAAAGATCCCGGCAAGGTGGCCCAAGGCATCCGAGAAGCTCGCTCCTCATCCACAACACCACCGCTTCATAGCAGCAGCTGCTTGGAAGGGACAATAAGGACTAGCGAGCAGGAACACAGGGTGAAAGACAGCGCCGAACCCGGCGGCCCAGAGTGGGGAAGCCGTACGCCCAGCCGAGATGGTTCCTGTCCGGAGGATGAGCCTTCAGCCAGCAGGGAAGGCGTCCGGTGGGAGAAGGGGAAGAAACCACGTAGCAGCTCAAACGCCTCCTTGGAACCCCCCTGCACTTTGATCTCGGACTTCCCCACCCAGACACTGGACAGGAGCAGCAGCGCTGGCTGCCTGCTGGAGCCCTTGTCCTCGAGCCACTCCTCCTCCCAGCCTCCCACCAGGAGAAGGAACCTCTCTGGGGAGCCAGCTCCCCCCACCACAGGGGTACAGAGGAGGAGGAGCCCTCCCTTGGAGCAAGTCAGCTTCAGCCTACTGCAAAGGCAAGTGGATCACAATACAGGAAGTGCTTGAGCCCTCCCTCCCAGCTTTTGACCCCGGCTTCCCCGTAAGATCAACAAACCTTTGTCAGTGCGATTGGTTTTCGAATAGTCATTGCTAAAGGAAAAGAAACGAAAAGACCCAATGCTCTAGCATACGACCAAACCCACGGAGACTGTTGCTGGTTCTCTCTCTCTCTCTCTCTGTTTCAGTCTGCTATTATTTCCATCGTAATTGTGTGCCTTTTTCTAGACTTTCTTTCATTTGCGTGTGCGTGCGTGCGTGTGTTTTGGTTGTTGCTTGAAATGCACCGACAAATTGAAGCTATGAATTTATTGTTATTGTTTTCACTGCTTTCTTTTATCGGAAAGGGGCTTATTCTTAGACCGTGTCTCCATTCCCCACGATGAGGTCTTGTCTCAACCACATGCAGACATGTGGAAAGAGTTGAGAAGAATTTCCAATGGATGCACTGAAAAGCATCAAACCACCACCTCTCTCATGTACAGACAGGTACAACCTGCCCCCACCCCACAACGACCGTACCCCTTATTTATTACTTGCTTTATTTAATATGTGGCAAAGTATTTTATAATTATTCCTTTTATTATTTGCATTACTGTGGTTGCCTCTAAATGTGCTTTAAAGACAGATGTGACTGCTTTAATCTGGAAGAAGAAGAAGAAGAAGAAGAAGAAGAAGAAGAAGAAGAAGAAGAAGAAGAAGAAGAAGAAGAAGAAGAGAGGAATGTTTACCCTCCGATTGTAACTGAAACTAGCACTTGTTTTCTATGGGGAGGCCCTGATGGTGATAAAAGGTAATCTCTCCAAAACAAAGAAAGAATCTCAGAATGTGCCTCCCCCCCCCTACAAATTACCCCCCAAGCACTTTTTTTTTAAAGGGACACGCACATAAGCAAAAGGTCCCTCTACCCTGCCCCACAAAGGGAAATAAAAAAGAGAAATTGCAAGAAAATAGGAATATATTGAATGTAAAAATAAAAAATAATGTTCTGGGAATGGTAGATCTTTGCTTTCTGACCACCATTCTTGCTTTAATACTGACATTCCGTGACCTGGCTGCTGCTTTGACTGATACGCACAATCTCTAAGGGGTGCCTTTTGCCAGCCGCTAGATGGTAGGGGCTTGGCTGTCATCCCTGTGGATCCTGCCCTTTGGAAATCTGCTCTCTAGTTGGAGATCTTTTGTTTTTGCTTTTAAGGGGAGAAAACACCTTCTCTTATCACACATTTGGAAATTGTAAGAGAAAAATTGAAATAAGTTGCTTACTGATCTGGACTACAACTCCCATCAGCCCCAGCCAGCATGGCTAATGGTCAGGAGTGATGGGAGTTGGAGTCCAGCAACATTTGGAGTGCCACAGATTTCCCACCCAGCGCAGAAATCAAGGCTGAGTTCATTCTTGCCTCAATATCACCCTGAACCATATCTGCGTTCCTAGTTCTGCTACTGGTCCTAGATGTATCCTATGTTTATCAGATCAGCCACATGTTCAACTGCGTAGAGTCCACAAAGAAGTACCGTAATTAAGGGCTTTTTTTTTCATACTGTTATCTCCCCCCCCCCCACTTAATGGAATAACTACAAACGTTAGTCTACATTATGCAGTAGATCTTTTAGGCTATACATTCCTATATGAAAAGGTCCCAGTGAATTCCCATTGAGCTGTTTGCATTTCAGATCAATAGGTTGCAATGGATGATGTTTTAGCAAAGGGGCAGAAGAATGCAATGTCTCCAATGGCTAACCAACCTGGTGTCACCTATAGAAAGATCAGGGCCAGAGCCACACAGGTCTTTTAATATATACACACTGCATTTAATAGCAGACGTTTACTCTAATTGAGAGCAAGCTTGCTAATTTGGCGAGTGTCTTGCTCTGGATCGAGTCTGTACACACAGTTTTTGAAACTAACTAGGCAAAATGAATCAGTTCCACAAATATTTAACCAATGGACCAGTCCTTTCTGAGATGTTCCCATTTATTATGTGCATGCTCCACACAACAATGTCCTGAACAATATTTTTATTTTAAGCAGGCATGGAAAGCCATGAACTGTTGCCAAGGCGTAGCTGAATAACGTGGAATGGATGGGGCTTTGAGTTGAATAATCTTCTGCGATGTATCATTTCATTTTTTGTGTTGTACTGAATAGTTTTGGTGGAGCTCTTTTGATTTTCTTTGGTCGAAATGATGTTGTGACTGAAATGATGTGAAGGTGACCAAACTGACGCTGGACTTTCCCTGGAAAACTCCATTCACAGCGGACAGTGTTCTGTTTTGTTTCCCCCTTGGTTTACTTCTGCTTCCAATACCTCTTTCAGTGCTAAGGTCCGGAAAGATCTTGCTTATAGAGTCTGCACTAGCATCCGGTACCTAACCCGAGACTTTATTGAAGGTCCAATACAATCCCCTTTGTCAACAGATCATGGGGATGAACATCAGTCACCGAGTTAAAGTCTGGCTCCAATGGAAATTGGTATCATGGTCATGATACCTTCAAAAGATTCAGAATGGCACCCGTCAACTTAATGGAATGAGCAAAGCCTGGACCAGAACATCGGTGGTCATTGTTGAAAAGCCGCACCTTGTCTCTGCCATGACTTTGAATTCCAGGTGGTTGATTTCCCCCTCATCCCCTCCTTCCTTCCCCTCCTTTAACCAGCTAGTCATGCAGCTCTTTTAGGACCAAATGGTTTTCGGTATTGAGCCTTCACTGGGCATTTGCTCTTCAATTATCCATTCACGCTCTGGTTTTGTTTTGAGGCTAGATCAAATGCAACCTGGTGCTCAGTTTTCAGCCTTTGGATTGAACTCTGCTTTGGGTGCATTGGACAGGATCTGTTCCGATGACATCTGCAAACAACCCGGAGCTAATAACAATAATAACCTTCTGGGTATGTTTACCTATTGCTCTCGAACCTTTCTTAATCCTCTGTGAGGCAAGCACTGCAAATGTAAATAGTGTCATCTAGGGGGGTATTTGCATCTGGGGTAGAAAGGACAGGACAGGACCTCAATGCTGTTTGAATAGGCTGGCAGACAAGACACCATGCAAAGCTCTGTAGCTTTGGATGGCAACATCCACTGCAGAGGACTCTACTTGAACTCTTCCTTTCACTTTCTGGTTGGGATCTGCAAAGTGCCTAGATCCTGAGTATTTATGCCAGTGTATCTGCCTGCAGCAACCTTTTGCCCTTTCTGTAACACCACTCTCTCCAGTGGTGTTGCTGGACGTAGAAGAAACCATGCCACAATGGGTGGCAGTTGCGAATGCAGAAATTGACCTCTCTTTTTTTTTGCCAGGGTAGCTTTTGCATTTCCATATAAATTGAAGCCACAGTTGGCAGAGGTCTCACACTGCAAAGAAGCTTTGTGATGCAAGCAAACCAATGGATGCAACAATCTCCTTCCATCCATCGCAAGTCTCCTGAATGTCTCTGGGGCATTTCCTGGTGGCCTATCTAATTGCACTGGCTGGCCAGGTGGAGCTGGCTCTCCTTAGGGCACGATGCTAAACAAACTAAGGGCTCAAACTGCAAGGTGCTGAGCACTCCAGGCAGACCTAGCAAAGCCTTAAGAATGTGCTTCGCCTCGAGCACTTAACTTGCCCCACTGAAGGTAAAGTTCTGAGCCCATCACAAAGTCGCTGCGTGGTTCCCCCGGTGTGGTGCTATAACAGAAGCCTGCAGAGATGGCCATGTGTCAAATCTGTCGCTAGACCTGACATTTCCTGCCATTCATTATTTTGCTGTTGTTGAAAGGTTTTTTCAGAGATCAGATTTTAATCTCTCTCCCCTGCCCCTCACCCTTGCAAACCACCCTTCCCAAAGCTGCAATCCTATATGCACTTTCTTGGGAGTAAATCTCACCCAGCATAGTGATATTTACTTCAGAGTAAGCGTGTGAATTATTGGGCTGCACTTTCCATAGGTTACTTCTGCAATTGCTTTCTATTTTGATCTAGCTTTGCATAGTTTGAAAAACAAGAAAGAAAAGAAAAGAAAAACCCTTGTAAAACTATTTTGACTATTATTAATATTTTTGCAAATTCTGGGTACTGTTATTCCTTGGCTAAGTCAGACCTTCTTAGTTATTATTATTACTGGCTGAGACAAGACCTCTGTATTTTGGTTACTTGAGCATCTCTCCTATTTTTATCCCTTTTCAGCCAAAGAGACAAAGAAAATTATTTTGAAATGTTGATGGCATCCGTGAGAGTTGATTGCTTTTTAATTTTGGAGCACTTTATTCCTAGATTTATAATCTGTGAAGGACTTTTCCTCTATATTTAAGCACCTTCCTGGTTTCCCAGTGTTCTGAGAATCAGTAATTAATTACTTCTTTTACTATGTAACCCTATGCAGGTTTACTCAGAAGTAAATTCCATGGTGTTCATTGGGACTTACTCCCAGGTAAGCGTGCATAGGATTAGTAGCAGAAAGCCATTTGGAGTGTCAGTTTCAGGCCAGAGTTCAAAACAGTTGGTCACCTACCTAGCAATCTGGGTTAAACTGAAATTGACTTCAGAAAGTGGGCCAACTTGGGTATAATATCACACTATGGTTTGCTCTAACTGCAACTTAAAGTGCAATACCATACACAGTTGCTCTGAGACTTAGTCCAGATGTAGAGGAAAACCATGGTTTGTGGGATTGCCATCTTTCCTTCACTTTCCCTGAGAATTCATAGCCATTACCCCCCCCCCCAAAAAAAGCAGACTCTTGACAAGAGGCCCAAGCTATGGTTTGTTGGTTCAGAAATAAAACCAAAGTTTGCCCACCCTCTCAAACAGTATTTTCATATCTCAGTGTGGAAGCCACTAGCAAACCATTGTTTGTTGGATGGCATGGGTTTAGACATCTTGAAAAACCATGATTTGCTGGTAATTCTGAATCATCTCTATGGGACATCCCAGGGATTTAAAATCTGTTGAATAGCCCACAAGCCAGTACAGTTAAAGTCATTGTATGTAAGCCAAACGAATCCCTTGGCTATGGTATCCACAAGGCTCTGATAAATGATTGGACCAGGCATAGGCAAACTCGGCCCTCCAGATGTTTTGAGACTACGATTCCCATAATCCCTGACCACTGGTCCTGTTAGCTAGGGATAATGGGAGTTGTAGTCCCAAAACATCTGGAGGGCTGAGTTTGCCTATGCCTGGGTTGGACTTTCCCAGGGGTAAATCATGGCTGCCACATTCACTTCAGTGATGGCCAATACTCCATCCATCAACCATTCTACGTTGCAATACCTATGGCAGCGGCAGTTTTCTGACAGATTTATGACTCAATCTAATTTTATTTTAGACTGAACCCCCTCCCCCTGCCCTTTCTATTTAAGATGATAGTCTTCAAAAAATGAGAAACCTCAAGGAACATAGAAAGCTGCCTTATACTGAGTCAAACCAGTCCATCCAGATCAGTACTGTCTTCCTAGCTCTCCAGGGTTCCAGGTAGGGGACAACTCCCAGCCATACCTGGAAATGTTGAGGATTGAATTTGAGACCTTCAGCATTCAAAGCAGATACTTTCCCACTGAATTAATGGACTTTCCCAAAGAGAGCATTTTTGCTGTTTATATTTGTAATTGGCTCTCGAGACTTTGACATTATTATCATTGCTATCTTTCTAGAAAGATAGGTGCCAGAACTCACCTTGTTCTCTTGTAATGACAATGGTGCCTACCTAGAGAGGTGTCGGAACTGAGTTTTGGCAAGTTCTGGCTGAAGAAAAGCCCCGAATAATAATATTACAGTCGTACCTTGGAAGTCGAACGGAATCTGTTCCGGATGTCCGTTCGACTTCCAAAACATTCGGAAACCAAAGCACAGCTTCTGATTGGCTGCAGGAAGCTCCTGCAGCCAATCAGAAGCCGCGGAAGCCCTGTCAGATGCTCAGGTTCCAAAGAACTTTTGCAAACCGGAACACTCACTTCCGGGTTTGTGGCATTAGAAAGCCAAAACGTATGAGAGTACCAAGGCGTTCGGGGTCCAAGGTACGACTGTATTATTTTAAAGTAAGAAATAACACAATAACAGAAACCGAATTGAAATCCCCACTACATTCGAGATGAAATTGCTCAGATTATTGTAAATTGATTTTATTTATTTTTTTACTGGAGGAGACCATAGCGGGAACCACAATAAATTCCAGGAAAAGTGACCCAACTGATTTGGCCTCTGCACACTTTAACCTTGAGAGCGACCTTTTCCATCTCTCTGATATGCTCTCACTCACAGAACTCAGCCCAGTGATTCTTCATAGGTGAGAACCTCTTGTTTTTCTGTGTCTGGCTTTGCCAACTTTGGCCATCATTTTTTTTTTATATAAAGAAAATACAATGCCAAGTCATTGCAATTGGCTTTTAAAAAGCATTCAAGCAATATGTTCTTGATACCGACAAACCATTTATGAGCTAAGCATGAAGCATTGTGATCTAGCCCTTCTATGATCTCTCCCCCCTCCATGTGTTCCTCACTTTTATTCCCAACCCCTAACATACACTTGATTTTTATTGTCTGTGTTCCTTATGGATTTTTTGCCCTCCTGTTATTGCACAGTATTTGTGAATTTTAAAAGGTAAAATGTTTTTAAATAAATACCAAATTTGGGTCCTAACGATGACATAAAACAAGTTTTCATTATTGAGATATTATGGCACTTATGCTCACTTTAGTAAATGTAATGTAAAATATTAATAATATTGATGATGTGTACGCAAATTTAATATACATGGTCTCATGTAAGATAAATATTTGCCTTTTTTCTAAAAGGTGTATGTATTCTGTAAGTGGAATAGTCTTTAGAAAGTTTCTATATGTTCTTTAAAAAAAAAATGGCAATACATTCCAAAAAAGGTACTGTAAATATGTACAGACTCAGAGTACAGTGTAATTTGGTAGTTTTGCCTGTAATTTTATTTTAAATTCAGTTTCTACACTTGCATCTTGCAATGTCTGTATGGTTATAAGAGTGCAAAGCAAAAAAAAAATGCAGGTAAAAAGCACAGAACATAATGTTAAGAAAAAAAGAGAAAAAAATACTCAGCATTTGATGTTTGTGAACTTTATTGTAAATGACATCTGTACTGTGAATGAAAAAAAAAGTTTTTACACGTATATTGCCTTTACTACAGTTCAGATTGTCTATTCAGTCTGAGCCTATTTTTTAAAAAAACAGCACGTTGGAATAAATTTTAAAGTCCCAACATATCACTAGCAGCCTCTCTGTGGTCATTTATTTTCTAGAACGATTTAGGGGGTGTTTCCTGGTTTCAGGTATTTGCAGAAACACTGCAAAGTTTCATTGGCATCCAACACACTCATCCCATAAGCACAAGGATTTGCACAATAGAACTTTGCACCCTCTCCAAATCTATTCCAGTGGATTGGAGGAGCAGAACAGATTTAGGGGCTGCATGAGAAAAGGAGGAGGGTGGAAGCTCGATCGCGTACAGGTTGCAGGTCCGACTTATCATAAGTTCATACTCTATACTTGTTCTTCAACCCGGAGACCCATATTAATACTTTACATGGTGAACTTTTAGGATTTATTTCAAGTCCCACCAATGGGGGTGTGAAGATCACTTCCTCCCTTGGTCAAAATGAATGCTGATGACTTTCCACATGGGGGAGCTCTGTGCATACTTCAAGTCTGCACAGCCGACAACTCCGATAAACTCTTTAGCTTCCAGTTCCTCCTTCCAGCGTTCACAGACTTCTCTCTGGAAAGATAACAGGGAGAGAGGCGTGCAGATATTTTGCTGAAGCTCAGAGCATCCTGGAGCTGTGTGGTGATTGGTAATCGTCTTGCTTCTTGGGGATGAAACAGAAGCAGTTCCATCTTCCGTTTCACCTTAAAATTTGGGAAGGGGGGCGGTATATGATCAGAGATGCTGCCCAGGATATTTGTGTTTCAGGCTTGCAAAGAGCTGATGGTTTCTTTTTCTGAGATGCAAATGGCACTGGCAAATTACATTCAAAAGCACTCAGTGCATCAGAGCAATGCAATCCCAACAACACGAGTGCTAGGGATGTGAGCCATACACACCACCACAGTCTTCACAAGAGGTGCCAAATTCCAGGTCTTCCAGGCACTCTCCATGGTTGTGTTTCCATTGAGAAGATCAAGCCACAGCAGAGGCTAGTGTCTTTAAGAAAACATCTTCTTTGGCGATCACTTGTAGCCGAGTAAGATTGTCTTCCATAAACACGGTTTTAACAATAAGTCCGTAAGTGACTGTGGAGACCAATTCTGGATCCACACATCCTTCCACAGTGGGGACATTGGTTTTCGGGCAGGAGTTGATCACGGTGTGGATTTGCCAAGCATGCCTTCCTCTTAGCACATTTCTCCCTTGCGTCCTGAGTTCGAGTATCTTCAAAGCCCATGACACCTTTGGTAAAGGCTGTTCTCCAATTGCAGCGCTTGCACGCCAGTATTTCCCCATTGTTGGTGTTTATACTACATTTTTAAAAACTTGCCTAAGACAGTCTTTAAACCTCTTTTGTTGACCACCAGCATTACGCTTTCCATTTTTAAGTTCGGAATAGAGTAGTTGCATTGGGAGACGATAATCAGGCATTTGCACAACATGACCAGTCCAACAAAGTTGATGTTGAAGAATCATTGCTTCAACACTGGTGATCTTTGCTTCTTCCAGTACACTGGTATTAGTTCGCCTGTCTTCCTAAGTGATGTGTAAAAAATTTTGGGAGACACCGTTGATGGAATCTTTGAAGAAGTGGGAGATGGTGTTTATAAGTGGTCTGTGTTTCACAAGCATACACTAAGGCTGATAGTACAATCGCTTTGTAAACACACATTTTGGTTTCCCCACGAATGTCCCAGTCCTCAAGCACTCTGCACTTCAGCTGGGAGAAAGCCGCACTCGCAGAACTCGGGGGATGCTGGATTTTGGCATCAATGTTGGCCCTTGTGGAATATGATGCGTTCACATATACAGTGGTGCCCCGCAAGACGAATGCCTCGCAAGATGAAAAACTCGCTAGACGAAAGGGTTTTCCGTTTTTTGAGTCGTTCCGCAAGACGAATTTCCCTATGGGCTTGCTTTGCAAGACGAAACGTCTTGCGAGTTCTTACAAGTTTGTTTCCTTTTTCTTAAAGCCGCTAAGCTGTTAATAGCCGCTAAGCCACTAAGCCGTTAATAGCCGCTAAGCCGTTAATAGCCACTAAGCCGCTAATAGCCGCTAAGCCGCTAATAGCCGTGCTTTACAAGACGAAAAAACCGCAAGACGAAGAGACTCGCGGAACGGATTAATTTCGTCTTGCGAGGCACCACTGTATACACTTGGAAATCTGGAATGGAGGGGGTGCAGAACATTATACCCCATGAGTGTCGATTTCATAGCTTCAGCAAGCTTGGGTTCAAAGTTTCTTTGGATCCCAGTCTCATAGTGCAGCCTCCTCCAGCCAGCACCATATGCAGTTCTGCTTTGTTCTCCTCCTTCCCAGCACATCTTTTGCAAAACGCAAACAAACCCAAGCATCCCGTAAAATGACACTTCCCCCTGTCACCCCCCTCTCTCTCACCATCACCTTGGCAACCTCTATTTTGCACAGACCTGAGCGCCTTCTTTAATGTGTAGCTGCCTGGACATTGTTTCATAATGGCCTGCATTTAACCAACCCAGCCAGGCTAGTTTTCATAAGCTAAACCCAGGAATTTCCTTTGGCACAG